CTCCCTCATGAACCCTTGATAATTTATAAATTATTATTTTGTCATATCTTGCCCTGTCCGACGTCTCCCTTCACCCATTTTTCTGTTGTTCGTCCCCCAGGGAGGAGGTTATATGTAGATCCTTGTAATCAGCTCCCAACAGTTGTTTTTTTAAAGAGCGGTTGCTTATGAAAAGTTTTATTTTCCTTTGGGAATCCAGGGCAGATGATCCTTTCAGTACCAGTGGTGTGAGTGGCGATACTGGGAGGGTAGAGAGAGAGTGGGCTGGAAAGAGGGAACCGATTATAAGGCTTGTGCTGTGGCCACGCTGAGAGATATGACACTTCAAGCTCCCTTCTTTTGGAGACAGTCACACCATGGTTAGGATTAGAAAAGACTGTAAGATCAATTTATTTAGGGCCTTTTGTCCACTGACTTTGAATGCTCCCAGCAATCAATTCCCTCATCTCCCCCCTAGCGACCTTCCCCTACCCAACCAAGCTTTCCGGCACTTTCCGGCAGCATTACCCTTGTGGTTTTAAGTTTCCTCACTAGCCATTCTCAACACGGGCTCAATCTTTCACTTCATCAACCCTTTGCAGAACCTAGCCTCCTCAAGCATAATTTTTGCATCTGCCCAAATCTCAAAGCCAAGCCCAAACGCTTAAACAAACAGATAAAATGTAATTCATGTAATCCATCAGTCTTTTTCTGTTCATACATATGAGGCTTAGCTTCAGGGGTGAAGATTCTTGAAGAAAGAGACCCATAAGAGGATACTAACTCAAAACCAAACCAAACTCGCGGCGATGGAATGAAGGCCAACTCAGCGACCCTATAGAGTAGGGTCTACCCTATAAACAGGGTAGAACTGCTCTTGTGGGTTTCTGAGATTGTAACTCTTCACGGGAGTGAAGACCCTCATCTGTTCCCCTAAGGAGCAGCTGATGGTTTCGAACTTCCGACCTTACATTAGCAGCGAAATGCGTAACTACTACCCCACCAGGGCTCCCCTGCAAGATGATAAGAGCTTCATTGTTTGGGTACCGACTATGAATCAGACTTGTGCTGTACTTTATATCTTTGTCTACGATATATCCTTTATATCTACAATTTCTAATCCTCACCAAACCTTCTTTAATAGGTATTATAGCAGTTAGGATTACTTTGGTTATAAATGTACTCATTCACTCGTCCGCTCAGCAAATACTAATATTTACGGGGTGCAATGTACTTATTATTTGCAAAGTATGACTCTGGGCACTGGGGACACATCAATAAACCAAACAGGCAAAAATCTCTGCCCAAGTGAAATTTATATTCTACAGATTCTACTAGCATTGAACCATGACATGACTAAAAATAAGAAACTAACATTAGAAATTGCTGGTAATGATTGAGACATACCCTGCCCTCCTCCCCTGGGGACGAACAATAGCAACGTGGTTGAAGGGAGACAGCGGGTGGTGTAAGATAGGAAAATAATAATAATTTATAAATTATCAAGGGATTCACAAGGGCTGGGGGGCGAGGGGGAGGGAAAAACAAGGAGCAGACACCAAGGGCTCAAATAGAAAGTAAATGTTTAGAAAATGATGATGGCAGCATATGTTCAAATATGCTTGATACAATTGATTTATGGAATGTTATAAGTGCTGTAAAAGTCCCCAATAAAATTATTTTTAAAAGAAAAGAAAACAAATTGGTGCTATACAAAAAAATAAAAATAGGGTCAGGCAAGAGATTAGGAGAACAGAGCAGCAAGAGGAGCAGAGAGATGAAGTCCCCAGGGAATACCAAAAACAGACTTTGAGGCCAGGGCATGGCACCCCATCAGACTCAACCAGAAACGCTCCTAAACATCAACAAACAGAGTTTGAACTATTCATAGACTTTTTTTTTGTCATTGGTTTTTGTTGTTTTGTTTTCTTATGTTGCTTTGTTTTGCTCTGTCTTGTTTTTGTTCATATTATTATCTCTGCATGTCTATCTAGATAAGATAGTTGAGATAAACAATCTGGAGGAGAAACAACAGGACCGACCCTTTGTGGAGACAAGGGAGAGGGGTGGGGGGAGGAAGTAGGTGTTAACAAATCCAGTGACAAGGGAACAACAAGTGATCTAAAATTGATGAGGAAGAGGGTGTAGGAGGCCTGGTAGGGCTTGATCAAGGGCAATAAAATTACTGAATTACTGAAACCCAAATGAAGGCTGAACATGATAGTGGGGCAAGAGGAAAGTAAAGGAAACAGAAGAAAGAACCAGGAGGCAAAGGGCATTTATAGAGTTTTAAATACAGGCATTTACATATGTAAATATAAATATATATATATTTATATGGGGAAAGAGATCTATGTGCATATATTGATAGGTTTAGTATTAAGGTAGCAGATGGACATTGGGCCTCTACTCAAGTACTCCCTCAATGCAAGACCGCTTTGTTCTAATAATCTGGCATTCCATGATGCTCACCTTCCCAACAAGATTGCTGCAGACAAAGCGGGTGCATAAGCAAATGTGGTGACGAAATCTGATGGAGTCTGGCCATCAAAAGATATAGCGTCTGGGGTCTTAAAGGCTCGAAGATAAACAAGCGACCATCTAGCTAAGAAGCAACAAAGCCCACATGGAAGAAGCACACCAGCCTGTGTGATCAGGAGGTGTTGATGGGATCAGGTATCAGGCATCAAAGGCCCAGAACAAAAAATTTTATCATTGTGAATGAGGGAGAGTGCATAGTGGAGACTCAAAACCCATTTGTAGGCAACTGGACATCCCCTTACAGAAGAGTCACGGGGAGGAGCCAAGCCAGTC